TGGCTCAGTTTCATTTCAGTCCTTTGTTAGTCTGGCTGTAGTCCTGGTTGTAGTCCTGGTTTAGGCCTGATTTAGTCCTGGTTTCATTTTAGCTTAGTCCTAGTTTAGTCCTGGTTGAGTCTCATTTTAACCTGTATTAGCCTGGTTGTAGTGCTGGTTTAGTCCTTTTTAAATCCTGGTTTAGTCCTTCTTTAGTCCTGCTTTAGTCCTGTTTCAGTCTCATTTTAGTCCTTTGTTAGCCTGGTTTAGTCCTGGTTTAGTCCTGCTTTGGTCCTCGTGTAGTCCTGCTTTAGTCCTGCCTTAGTTCTGGTTTAGTCCTGGTTTAGTCCTACTTCAGTCTCATTTTAGTCCTTTGTTAGCCTGGTTATAATCCTTGTTGTAGTCCTGGTTTAGTCCTGTTTTAGTCCTGTTTTAGACCTGGTTCGGTCCTGGTTTAGTCTTGTTTGTAGTCCTGCTTTAGACCTGGTTTAGTCCTGCCTTAGTTTTGCTTTAGTCCTGGTTTAGTCCTACTTTAGTTCTGCCTCAGTTTTGTTTTAGTCCTGTTTTAGACATGGTTTAGTCCTGGTTTAGTTCTAGTTTAGACCTGGTTTAATCCTGGTTTAGTTCTAGTTTAATCCTGGTTTAGACCTGGTTTAATCCTGGTTTTAGACATGGTTTAGTTCTTGTTTAGACCTGGTTTAAACCTGGTTTAGACCTGGTTTAGTTCTAGTTTAGATCTGGTTTAGTTCTAGTTTAATCCTGGTTTTAGACCTGTTTTATTCCTGCTTTAGTTGTACTTTAGTCCTGGTTTAGTCTTGGTTTAGTTCTGTTTTAGTCCTGCTTTAGTCTTGATTTAGTCCTTCTTTAGTCCTTGTTGTAGTCCTGGTCTAGTCTTGGTTTAGTCCTGCTTTAGTCCTGGTTTAGTCCTGCTTTAGTCTTGGTTTAGTTCTGCTTTAGTCCTGTTTTAGTCCTGCTTTAGTCCTGCTTTAGTCCTGATTTAGTTGTACTTTAGTCTTGGTTTAGTCCTGCTTGAGTCCTGCTTTAGTCCTGCTTTAGTCTTGGTTTAGTTCTGCTTTAGTCCTGTTTTAGTCCTGTTTTAGTCCTGATTTAGTTGTACTTTAGTCCTGGTTTAGTCCTGTTTTAGTCCTGCTTTAGTCCTGCTTTAGTCTTGGTTTAGTCCTGTTTTAGTCCTGCTTTAGTCCTGTTTTAGTCCTGGTTTAGTCCTGGTTTAGTCCTGCTTTAGTCTTGGTTTAGTCCTGTTTTAGTCCTGCTTTAGTCCTGTTTTAGTCCTGGTTTAGTCCTGGTTTAGTCCTGGTTTAGTCCTGCTTTAGTTCTGCTTTAGTCCTGGTTTAGTCCTGGTTTAGTCCTGGTTTAGTTCTGTTTAGTTCTGTTTTAGTCCTGTTTTAGTCCTTTAGTCCTTTTAGTCCTGTTTAGTCCTGTTTTAGTCCTGGTTTAGTTTTAGTCCTGTTTTAGTCCTGGTTTAGTCCTGGTTTAGTCCTGGTTTAGTCCTGGTTTAGTCCTGGTTTAGTCCTGGTTTAGTCCTGGTTTAGTCCTTTTAGTCCTTTTAGTCCTGGTTTTAGTCCTGGTTTAGTCCTGGTTTTAGTCCTGGTTTAGTCCTTTAGTCCTCCTTTAGTCCTGGTTTAGTCCTTTGTCCTTTTAGTCCTGGTTTAGTCCTGGTTTAGTCCTAGTCCTGCTTTAGTCCTGGTTTAGTCCTGCTTTAGTCCTGGTTTAGTCCTGTTTTAGTCCTGGTTTAGTCCTGGTTTAGTCCTGGTTTAGTCCTGGTTTAGTCCTGGTTTAGTCTTCCCTCTCTTCTCTTCTCTGGTTTAGTCTTCTGTCGTTTTTGTTTGGGGGGAGGTGTGGCAGCGATGCCGTTGTGATGTCATAATCAGTCGAGGAAAAACTGGGTCAGACTTTACAGCGGTTTCCACGGCGACCGCATCACTGGGTCACCGCTGCGGCATCGTGGGAAATGGAGTCTCTCTCTCTCTCTCTCTCTCGTACGAACCGCCAGAACGTCCACAGTCTAATCCGAGCTCGAGCACACGGTCAAACTCTGAGCTTTACAGATGTTCACATTTGTTGACCCGGTTTATTTATATCTCATGTTTTAGTTTTTTTTTTTCTGTTAATGAGTATAAATATAAAAACACTTTGATTGACAGCTGGAGTTTATATGTGAAGTGTTTTAGTTCGTTTCCTTCAATGATTTTCAGAGTTTTTATTCGTAAAAAATAAGATCAGAGCTTCTCAGGTTGTTTTATATTTTAGAATAGAGACAGTTTACTCTTAATATAGACTGTTTCTGACCGGGTTTAGACCTGGTTTAGTCCTGGTTTAGTTCTGGTTTAGTCCTGGTTTAAACCTGGTTTAGTCCTGGTTTAGTTCTAGTTTAGACCTGGTTTAGTCCTGGTTTAGTTCTAGTTTTAGTTTAGACCTGGTTTAAACCTGGTTTAGTCCTGGTTTAGTTCTAGTTTAGACCTGGTTTAGTCCTGGTTTATTTCTAGTTTAGACCTGGTTTAGTCCTGGTTTATTTCTAGTTTAGACCTGGTTTAGATCTGGTTTAAACCTGGTTTAGACCTGGTTTAGATCTGGTTTAGACCTGGTTTAGTCTTAAGCCAATGAGGTTCATTTTGTCTTCTTATATACTTTAACTTCTTAGGTTCTTTTTAAAGACAATGCAGTAAAGTGTGTTTACCTTGTTGACATGTTTCGGCTGCTGCTGCATCTTCAGAACTGTCCTTGGTGTTGGTGTTGACGTGTCGTATATCAGCTGTTGTTACTTCCTGTGGGCGTGGTCAGACCTGATGGACCTGGCAGGTCGCTCAGACTGACCACGCCTCCCGTCGCCCGGTGTCTCTGGAGGAGGGTGTCCCAGGTGTGTGAAAGGAGGAACGCGCCGTCATCACGGTTAATGCTGTCCGTGCCTCGTTTCCTGATTTCAATGTCCTCCTTGATCCAGCGTTTGAACTTGTTGTTTTCCGATCCAATGACCCGAGCCCCGTCCCGATCCAGAATGTGGTTGTTCCTTTTACAGTGTCTGATGTGGCGGATTTTAGGTTTTCCTGTTCTGCTTTGTCTTTTTGTGTTCTGGTGAGTCTCCCTGACGTTTCCTTCTCGCATTCCTTTTGTTGTTCCTTTTTTCGGATGTGAAATGCCCGGCCTGTTTCCCCTATGTATGATTTATTGCATGATTTGCATTGAATTTCGTATGTGGCGTTGCATTTTTGTTCTTGTGGGATTTTGTCCTTGGGATGTACGAGCTGTTGACGGAGTTTTGTGTCTGGTTTTACTACAGTGCTTATGTTGTGTTTTTTCATGGCTCTGGATGGGTTCGGTTATTCCTCTGATGTTCGGTAGTGTGACTATGTTTTTGTCCTGCTGCCCTGTGTTGGATTGTTGTGTTTTTTTTTCCGGGGTTTGTTGGTTTTATTGATAACTTGTTGTCTGCCTTTGTTCATGGCCCAGCTGGGATATTGACATTGTTTGAGTGCTTGTATGATGTGTCTCTCCTCTTCCTCCCTGTCGGTCTGTGATGAGTGTGGCCCGTTCGAATAATGTTCTTACTACTGAAAGTTTGTGTGCAGTGGGGTGGGTTGTTGTGCAGTCTGGTTTAGTCTTGGTTCAATCTTGCTCCAATCTTGGTTTAGTCCTGGTTCAGTCTTGGTTTAGTCCTGACTCAGACCTGATTTAGTTCTAGTTTAGTTGTGGTTTAGTTGCAGTTCAGACCTGGTTCAGATCTGGTTTTGTCCTGTTTTAGACTTGTTTTATTCCTGGTTTAGACCTGGTTTAGTCCTGGTTCAGTCTTGGTTTAGTCCTGGTTCAGACCTGGTCAGTCATGAGACAGAGTGTGAGAAAAAGATCTTGTATATGACGAGTCACGTCGCATGTTCGTACACGAGTGCATTTGACTAAAGCCGTTGTAAAGCCAAAAGTGATTCTAAAGTATTTAAAAGTGAATATCTTTGTCATTCCTTAGTCTATCAACGTAAAATAAAAAGTGACTGAAAGATAAAACCCTCCTCTGTTAGAATATTTCAGCAGTTTTCTGCTGCATCTGGCGAGGACGCAGCGATAACTGTTTCCTTTTTGGACCAAAATAAATGACATGAATGAATGGACACGTGTACTGACCAAACACCAGTGTCGGGGAGTAACAGATTACATGTACCGGAGTTACGTAATCAGAGTACAAATTATGAGTAACTGTATTCAGTTACAGTTACTGTTTCAGTGAGTGGTAATTGGATTACAGTTACTTTGTTGAAATAAATGGATTACATGGCGGGATTTTCCTGTTTTCACATTTTGGGCTAAATCCCCCCCCTTTTTTTTTTTCTCGGTAATTCCACTCATTGCCAGATACTAAACCAGGTCTAAACCAGGTCTAAACCAGGTCTAAACCAGGTCTAAACCAGGACTAAACCTGGTCTAAACCAGGTCTAAACTAGGACTAAACCAGGACTAAACCAGGACTAAACCAGGTCTAAACCAGGACTAAACCAGGACTAAACCAGGACTAAACCAGGACTAAACCAGGACTAAACCAGGACTAAACCAGGACTAAACAGGACTAAACAGGACTAAACCAGGACTAAACCAGGACTAAACCAGGACTAAACCAGGACTAAACCAGGTCTAAACCTTTAAAATGTTTTCCCCTACAGATTACAGATTACATCCTGTCCTGTCCAGTCCTGGTTTAGTCCTGATTATAGTCCTGGTTTAGTCCTAGTTTAGTCCCAGTTTAAACCTGGTTTGTTCTATTTTTTTTCTGTTTGGTTTCTATAAGTTATTGTTATTTTGGAAAGTTTTTAGGTTGTTTTTTGTTATGGTGATCGTCTTTTCCTTTATTATTATGTTTTTTTTTGGTCACGGGATAGTTAAAGTTTTTTTTTTTTCGTCTTTTGGTTTCCTGCGTCCGTCTTAAACATATTTTAATCTGTACTTTTGCGTCATAACAAACGTGGGACACAAAATCTCATACAGAACTCGTCCTGACTGTTGTGTGTTTTCGTCTCCAGGTCTGAGCGACTCTCCTGATTGGCCGATGCTGCTCTGTGGGCGTGTCTGAGTCTCCCGATTGGCTGGTTTGGCCGTCCGTCATCATGCCGCTGTTAAACCTGGCCCCGTCGTGCTCGGATCCGGACAACTGCTCGTCCCAGAGCGAGCCCAAAGCCTACTGTTACTCGGCGCGCATCCGGAGCACCGTGCTGCAGGGGCTGCCCTTCGGAGGAGTGCCCACCGTCCTCGCGCTCGACTTCATGTGCTTCCTGGTACGTTCTCTTCAGTTTTTATCTTTATTTAAACACTTTCTCTTCAGTTCTTATCTTTATTTAAACACTTTCTCTTCAGTTTTTATCTTTATTTAAACACTTTCTAGTCAGTTTTTACCTTTATTTAGATGTTTTCTGTTCAGTTTTTATCTTTATTTAGATGTTTTCTGGTCAGTTTTTGATCTTTATTTAAACACTTTCTTTTTTTCTTTTTTTTTTTTCTTTTCTTTTTTTTAATCATTTTTTATCTTTAAACGCTTCCTGGTCAGTTTGTCAGTTTTTATCTTTATTGTAAACACTTTCTCTTCTTTCTAATCGTTTTTTTTTTTTTTTTTTTAATCTTTATCTAAACACTTTCCTGGTCAGTTTTTTTTAGTCTTTGTTTAAATGCTTTCTCAGGTCAGTTTTTTCATTTTTTCAGTTTTTTCATTTTTTTCTTCAGTTTTTTCATCTTTTTTATCTTTAAACAGGTTCTTCAGTTTTTATCTTTATTTAAAACTCTTCAGTTTTTATCTTTATTTAAACACTTTCTCTTCAGTTTTTATCTTTATTTAAACACTTTCTCTTCAGTTTTTATCTTTATTTAAACACTTTCTCTTCAGTTTTTATCTTTATTTAAACACTTTCTCTTCAGTTTTTATCTTTATTTAAACACTTTCTCTTCAGTTCAGTTTAAACACTTTCTCTTCAGTTTTTATCTTTATTTAAACACTTTCTCTTCAGTTTTTATCTTTATTTAAACACTTTCTCTTCAGTTCTTATCTTTATTTAAACACTTTTCTTCAGTTTTTATCTTTATTTAGATGTTTTCTGGTCAGTTTTGATCTTTATTTAAACACTTTCTAGTCCTTTTTTTCTTTTTTTCTTTTCTTTTTTTTTTTTTTTTTTTAATCATTTTTTATCTTTAAACGCTTCCTGGTCAGTTTGTCAGTTTTTATCTTTATGTAAACACTTTCTAATCGTTTTTTGTTTTTTTTTATCTTTATCTAAACACTTCCTGGTCAGTTTTTTTTAGTCTTTGTTTAAATGCTTTCTGGTCAGTTTTTGTCTTTATTTAAACATTTCTAGTAATTTTTTATCTTTTTTTTTTTAATCACTTTTTATCTTTAAACGGTTCCTGGTCAGTTTGTTCAGTTTTTATCTTTATTTAAACTCTTCAGTTTTTATCTTTATTTAAACTCTTCAGTTTTTATCTTTATTTAGATGTTTTCTCTTCAGTTTTTATCTTTATTTAAACACTTTCTAGTTATTTTTTATCTTTTTTTTTTTTTATAGTTTTTTATCTTTAAACGGTTCCTGGTCAGTTTGTCAGTTTTTATCTTTATTTTATATGAATCTTGGTCAGTTTGTATCTTTATTTACTTACTTTCTAGTCATTTTAAAAATCTTTATTTAAACATTTTCTAGCCAGTTTGTCAGTTTTTATCTTTATTTACTTAATTTCAAATTTTTTTTAATCTTTATCTAAACACTTCCTTGTCAGTTTTTTTTAGTCTTTATGTAAATGCTTTCCGGTCAGTTTTTATCTTTATTTAAACATTTCTAGTAATTTTTTATCTTTTAAAAAAAATTTTTTTTTATCACTTTTTATCTTTAAAAGGTTCCTGGTCAGTTTGTCAGTTTTTATCTTTATTTAAACATTCTTTTGTCAGTTTTTATCTTTATTTAAACACTTCCAGGTCAGTCTCTGTTCATTATGTACCTGGTTTATTTACCTGGTTTTATTTGGTTTATTTACTTGGTTTTATTTGGTTTATTTACTTGGTTTTATTTGGTTTATTTACTGGTTTTATTTGGTTTATTTACTGGTTTTATTTGGTTTATTTACCTGGTTTTATTTGGTTTATTTACTTGGTTTTTACTTGGTTTTATTTGGTTTATTTACCTGGTTTTATTTGGTTTATTTACTTGGTTTTATTTAGTTTATTTACCTGGTTTTATTTGGTTTATTTACCTGGTTTTATTTGGTTTATTTACCTGGTTTTATTTGGTTTATTTACTTGGTTTTATTTGGTTTATTTATTTGGTTTTATTTTTATTTACTTGGTTTTATTTGGTTTATTTTACTTGGTTTTATTTGGTTTATTTACTTGGTTTTATTTGGTTTATTTACCTGGTTTTATTTGGTTTATTTACTTGGTTTTATTTGGTTTATTTTACCTGGTTTTATTTGGTTTAATTTACTTGGTTTTATTTGGTTTATTTACTTGGTTTATTTGGTTTATTTACTTGGTTTTATTTGGTTTATTTACCTGGTTTTATTTGGTTTATTTACTTGGTTTTTATTTGGTTTATTTACCTGGTTTTATTTGGTTTATTTACTTGGTTTTATTTGGTTTATTTACTTGGTTTTATTTGTTTATTTACCTGGTTTTATTTGGTTTATTTACCTGGTTTTATTTGGTTTTATTTACCTTGGTTTTATTTGGTTTATTTACTTGGTTTTATTTGGTTTATTTACCTGGTTTTATTTGGTTTATTTACCTGGTTTTATTTGGTTTATTTACCTGGTTTTATTTGGTTTATTTACCTGGTTTTATTTGGTTTATTTACTTGGTTTTATTTGGTTTATTTACCTGGTTTTATTTGGTTTATTTACTTGGTTTTATTTGGTTTATTTACTTGGTTTTATTTGGTTTATTTACCTGGTTTTATTTGGTTTATTTACTTGGTTTTATTTGGTTTATTTACTTGGTTTTATTTGGTTTATTTACTTGGTTTTATTTGGTTTATTTACCTGGTTTTATTTGGTTTATTTACCTGGTTTTATTTGGTTTATTTACTTGGTTTTATTTGGTTTATTTACCTGGTTTTATTTGGTTTATTTACTTGGTTTTATTTGGTTTATTTACTGGTTTATTTGGTTTATTTTTGGTTTTATTTGGTTTATTTACCTGGTTTTATTGGTTTATTTACCTGGTTTTATTTGGTTTATTTACTTGGTTTTATTTGGTTTATTTACTTGGTTTTATTTGGTTTATTTACTTGGTTTTATTTGGTTTATTTACTTGGTTTTATTTGGTTTATTTACTTGGTTTTATTTGGTTTATTTACCTGGTACAGACTTGTTCATGTTCAGCTTTATCTTAGTTTATCACATTTTAAAGGACCCGTGTGTCACTCTGAATTGAGTTTTACACATTACCCAGAACTGACACCAGAAGCGACAGCAGCACATAACGTAACGCAGCGTGACGTGGGCAGAGCTGCACATGTGTGAACTTTTAAAAGCTTCAGTTTACACCAGAGGCACAGATCTGCTCCTGTGACGCAGCCTCTGTGTCAGCAGCGTCAAACTCAAATACACAGAGGACAAAATGAAAAACTGGGTCTAAGTCGTGGGTCAAACTGAATATTTATAGGCGAGTTTCATTGTTGACAAAAGCGCGCGTTGCATGCTGGGAATTATTTTGGTCGGTGGCAAGAAACACTAATTCAACATGACGGACGGAGCGAGAAAACACGTACAGGATATTGATCCCGGTTATTTATCCACTCTAACGGCAGAGGACCCAAGACCATTTGACCAGAAATTGGTCATAAGCATCGACGGACGACAAATCACCCTTTTCAACCTCGACAAAAGGTTGGAACCAAACCAAATTTCTGGTCAGAATCACCAACTACCTGGACAAATATTCACTTGGGCGATATCCACAATGACTTGGTGGAAACTCCTGGGCCATTCACAGCAGAAAAGATGAAAACCTCCAAGAGTCTCGATGTGTTGTTGAACTTGTTGGAGTCCACGGTTTGTTAGGATCTTCTACGTTTGCTCTGCGGATGTTTGAAAGACGTTTAATTCACTGTTAGCGGTTCTTTTCACTCGGAATACGAAAAAGACATTTTCCTTCTTCCGTGCTTCTATTTGGCTACGTTCAGTCTGAATGACACAGATCCGATTTTTTCAAATGTGACCCAGGACACTTGGATCTGTGCTCCTGAAACTGAAACATATCTGATCTTTTGACATGTGACTTCAGTCTGAACGGCCAAAGCTCATTCATCCACCTACACGTTATCAACAAGACACAAACGTCACTATTCTGTGCTGAAGTAGGAGAAAATTGTTAATGAACTCTGTGTGACTGAAGTGAAGCACATCACCACTCACCACTCTTGGCTCCGTCTCCACATCCACACGTTCCTTTTAACGTTCTGTCCCACAAAACACCACGACCATAAACCTCGTCCTTCTCCTTCTCAATCTCCTCCTTAAAAGAAGTAAGTTGTTCATGTTCTGGCTCCGGTACGAGAGGAACTTTAAAATCTCCAGGTGCTCGATGCTGCGTCCATGTTTGGGCAACTTCCGTAAACACAGAGACGCTCGCTGCGGTTGACGTCGTCGTGTCTCCAGTGTCACATGTGGGACACTTTTGGGTCGTTTACTGTTCACACTGGAGTCACATACAAGTCACATTTAATTGGAAATGTGAACGACCTCGAAAAAACATCGGATTTCACAAAAAATTCGGAATTGAGCGTTAAGTCCTGCAGTCTGAACGTAGACTTAGTGCATCCGATAATGCAGCAGGAATTTACCATTAACGGGGATAAATACTCGAGGTTACGCACTGTGTTTGACGCTATCATGTTTCTTGCCTCCGACCAGAATATTTCCCAGCAGCAACGCGGGCTTTTAATAACAATGACGTCAGCTGAAACTCGCCTATTTACCTACATGTTTTCTATTCTTTCGAGATATGTTATGTTAAACCTTTTATTATTAAAATAAATGTTTAATAATAGTTTGGCTTAAACACTGAATCCAGAACAAACAGAATATAAAATATTAACATTTTAAATAAATAAAGTCTCTATAGTCGATCTGTCGCAGCTCTAATACAGATTTGATATGATTTCACGGACCAAATATAATTATATCTCGCAGGCCAAATTTGGTCCCCAGGCCTGAGTTTGACATGTCTGCTCTGTGGATTCTCACGTTTACACACTAAACTTTTTACATTGTTCATGTGTTCAATGTTGATTGGATGAATTATGTTTTAAATCACACAATCACAATCAAAATGTTGACAACAAGACGAGACAACGAGACGATGTTTTGCAGCGATAACGAGCCGTGTCTGTGGAGCTGCGTGAATAAAACTCCTCTCCATTTCACTTTGGTCGTCTGCTCAGAAGTCGTTCTTGTAAAGTTTGTGTCTGATGTCGTGAATTGTTTTATATTTATCCTCCGCGGCTGTAAACTTTCCACGTCCATCACAGTCATTCCCCTGAGCTCCTGATGCGACGCTCGCTGTTTACGCCACTGTAATGGTTTCAGAGAACATATTTTGAAAGGACATGGGACATTTATTTTGACACTGCATGCCCATTTCCTGTCTCTCCCCTGATAAAAATCCTGGAGACGCTCTGTTGACATAGCAAAATGAAAACTCTAACCTAATCTGAACGGCACGTAGCGTCATGACGGCCGTTGGACACACATACGACACTGCTGCTGCACCTACACACTCACACAGGCTCCTCCCAGATCACAAGTCTGCACTAACAAGAGTCCTTTTAATCCAGAATCAAACCGATTGTCCGTAAAAAGAATATAATCTCAGTGTTGCGCACATGGATTTATTTCTGCGAGTGTAAACAAGTGACATGACTCTGTGGTGTGTTCAGGGACAGTACGGACACACAAACAAATGACTCCGTAGATAAAAACTGATGCGGAGTCACATTTTAGGACATTTATCTGTTTGTAAATTGGATTAAATGAACAGAATGTAGAGAGTCTAATATTTATAACGACGTATCACATGCCCACGTGAAATATCGGCCCATATCAGCAAACATATCGGCCAATCGATATATCGGTCGGGCTCTAGTTTAAAGGTGCATATTTTTTTTTACTTTAATATCATGTTTTTGTGGTTTAAATGTTTTAATTTTAATATGTTTAATTTTTTTCTTTTTTAATTGTTTTGTGGTCTAAAGGTGCATTTTTTCTTTTAGTTCAATATCAGTTTTTGTGGTTTAAAAGTTGCATATTTTTCTTCTTTTTTAGTTTAATATCTTTTTTTGTTTTTTAAAGTTGCATATTTTTCTTCTTTTTTTAGTTTAATATCAGTTTTTGTGGTTTAAAGTTGCATTATTTTTTTCTTTTTTTAGTTTAATGTGATGTTTTTGTGATTAAAAGTTGCATATTTTTCTTTTTAGTTTTTTGTTTTTTAAAGTTGCATATTTTTCTTCTTTTTTTAGATTAATATCAGTTTTTGTGATTTAAAGGTGGTTGAAGTTGCATATTTTTCAGTTTTTTAGTTTAATGTCATGTTTTTATGTTTTAAAGGTGCATATTTTTCTTTTTCTTTGAGTTTAATATCAGTTTCTGTGGTTTAAAGTTGCTTATTTTTCTTATTTTTTTTAGTTTAATGTCATGTTTTTGTGATTTAAGAGTGGTTAGAGGTGCAAATTTTTCTTTTTCTTTTAGTTTAATGTGATGTTTTTATGGTTTAAAGTTGCATATTTTTCTCCTTTTTTAGTTTAATGTCATGTTTTTGTGGTTTTAAAGTTGCTTATTTTTCTTATTTTTTTAGTTTAATGTCATGTTTTTGTTATTTAAGAGTGGATAGAGGTGCATATTTTTCTTTCTCTTTTAGTTTTATAAATTTTTGTGATTTAAAGTTGCATATTTCTCTTATATTAGCTTAATGTGATGTTTTTGTGATTTAAAGTTGCATATTTTTCTTCTTTTTTGATTTTAATGTGATGTTTTTGTGTTTTTCAGGTGCTGCTGTTCGTGTTTTCCATCCTGCGTAAAGTTGCCTGGGATTATGGACGCCTGGCGCTGGTCACAGACGCAGACAGGTCAGGATTTTATTTAACATTTAACATTTAAGATTTAAAATTAAAGACGACTCTTTTCTTTCTGTTTAAATGTTTAAATTTTTTTTTATACATTTGTGAAGCTAAATCGTCTTTATATAAACGTTTTTGTGTCTGTAATTTCTGTAATTAAAGGCTTCAGATGATGAGCTGTGGAGACGAGAAAGAGTAGTACGTCCTGGAGTTGTTTTGTGTGGTTTTTTTTTAATAATTTAATTCAATTTTTAATTTTTTTTTTGGTTTGTTTGACTTTGAAGAATTTTAATTTGAAAATAATAAATCTTCTGTTCTCACGGTTTGCTGTGTATGAAAACGGAGAGACACCAGAGCCGCGAAAATAAAAACAAACGAAACTGAAATCAGCAAGAAACGATCGGACTAAACCAGAACTGAACCAGAACTGAACCAGGACTGAACCAGAACTGAACCAGGACTGAACTAGGACTGAACCAGGACTAAACCTGGTTTAAACCAGGACTGGACCAGGACTAAACCAATACTAAACCAGGACTAAACCAGGACTAAACCAGGACTAAACTAAGACTAAACCAGGAGTAAACCAGGACTGAACCAGGTCTAAACCAGGTCTAAACCAGGACTAAACTAGGACTAAACCAGGACTAAACCAGGACTAAACCAGGACTGAACCAGGACTAAACCAGATCTAAACCAGGTCTAAACCAGGTCTAAACCAGGTCTAAACCAGGTCTAAACCAGGACTAAACCGGACTAAACCAGGACTGAACCAGGACTGAACCAGGACTAAACCAGGTTTAAACCAGGACTGGACCAGGACTAAACCAATACTAAACCAGGACTAAACCAGGACTAAACCAGGACTAAACCAGGACTAAACCAGGACTAAACTAAGACTAAACCAGGAGTAAACCAGGACTGAACCAGGTCTAAACCAGGACTAAACTAGGACTAAACCAGGACTAAACCAGGACTAAACCAGGACTGAACCAGGACTAAACTAAGACTAAACCAGGAGTAAACTAGGACTAAACCAGGACTAAACCAGGACTAAACTAGGACTAAACCAGGACTAAACCAGGACTGAACCAGATCTAAACCAGATCTAAACCAGGTCTAAACCAGGTCTAAACCAGGTCTAAACCAGGTCTAAACCAGGACTAAACCAGGACTAAACCGGACTAAACCAGGACTGAACCAGGACTGAACCAGAACTAAACCAGGACTAAACCAGGACTAAACCAGGACTGAACCAGGACTGAACCAGAACTAAACCAGGACTAAACCAAGACTGAACCAGGAATAAACCAGATCTAAACCAGGTCTAAACCAGATTTAAACCAGGTCTAAACCAGGACTACACCAGGACTACACCAGGACTAAAACCAGGTCTAAACCAGGACTACACCAGGACTACACCAGGACTACACCAGGACTAAAACCAGGACTAAACCAGGACTAAACCAGGACTAAAACCAGGACTAAACCAGGACTAAACCAGGACTAAACCGGGACTAGACCAGGACTAAAACAAGACAAAGCCAGGACTAATTTAGGACTAAACCAGAACTAAACAAAAAATAAATTAGAACTATATCAGGACTCAACTGAAACTAAACCAGGACTAAACCAGGACCTATTTCAGACCTGTTAAAAGTGTTTTACATATTTATTTATTTTATTTTGTTTTGTTTTTGTGTCTCTTTTGTCTCTCCGTGTTTGAACTGTTTGTGATGCTAACGACGCTAACGTGCTAACCTCTGCTGCTTCAATGCTTTATTCAAACTTTATTTAAACTCAGCCGACGACGAGAGCGAGAAAACTATGAACCGGTGAAAAGGTAAAAGGTGTTTGTGACCCGGTGACGTCTTAGCGCGTTAGATCACCCCCCTCTAGTGTCCAGAGACGGCCCAGCGTGACGTGGGTACAAAAATAAAACGTCCTCTAGAGTTTTTAGTGCAATGTTTTGGGGACTACATTACCCATGAGCCTTTGTGAACGTGCTGTGTGAAAACCGCCTGACGACAAGACGGGAACGAGGACAAAAACAGGACTGGACCAGGACTAAAGAAGGACTGAACCAGGACTAAAGAAGGACTGGACCGGGACTAAAGAAGGACTAAACCAGAACTAAACCAGGACTGAACCAGGACTAAAGAAGGACTGGACCAGGACTGGACCAGGACTGAACCAGGACTGAACCAGGACTAAAACAGGACTAAAGAAGGACTGAACCAGGACTAAAGAAGGACTGGACCGGGACTAAAGAAGGACTGGACCGGGACTAAAGAAGGACTAAATCAGGACTAAATCAGGACTAAAACAGGACTTAAGAAGGACTGAACCAGGACTAAAGAAGGACTGGACCAGGACTGAACCAGGACTGAACCAGGACTGAACCAGGACTAAAACAGGACTAAAGAAGGACTGGACCAGGACTAAAGAAGGACTGGACCAGGACTGAACCAGGACTGAACCAGGACTAAAGAAGGACTGGACCAGGATTGAACCAGGACTAAAGAAGGACTAGACCAGGACTGAACCAGGACTAAAGAAGGACTGGACCAGGACTGGACCAGGACTGAACCAGGACTAAAGAAGGACTGGACCAGGACTAAAGAAGGACTGGACCAGGACTGAACCAGGACTGAACCAGGACTGAACCAGGACTGAACCAGGACTAAATCAAGACTAAACCAGGACTAAACTAGGACTAAACCAGGACTAAATCAAGACTAAACCAGGACTAAACTAGGACTAAACAGGACTAAACCAGGACTGAACCAGAACTAAACCAGGACAAAATCAAGACTAAACCAGGACTAAATCAAGACTAATCCAGGACTAAACCAGGACAAAATCAAGACTAAACCAAGACAAAATCAAGACTAAACCACGACTAAACTAGGACTAAACCAGGACTAAATCAAGACTAAACCAGGACTAAACTAGGACTAAACCAGGACTAAATCAAGACTAAATCATGCCCACACCAGGACTAAACCAGGACTAAACCAGGCCTAGATCAGAGACATAACTTCAGACTTGTTCCTGTATCAGTTGTGTTATTTAAACCTGTGTATTGACTTTCCTCTTCTGTTTTTGTCAGCGTTGCGTCGGCGATGCACTCGGACACTCCGGACCGCTACGAGCGCCTCACCTCCGTCTCCAGCTCCGTCGACTTCGAACAGCGAGACAACGTAAGAAACTCAAAACACTCTTAGTTTATCTTTAACGTCCGATGTGACACAAAATGGACTCTTGTTAACGCGTTAAGACGTGTTAGAATCCTGTTACCTCCTCAAAAACAGACCTGGAGATATGTTTTGTTTCATTTATCTTTTAGTAACCCTTTATTATTAAAGTCTGTCTACTTCTCCAAAGCTCAAAACGCTCTGTTCCACCTTGTGATGTCATTAAGCGGTAGTTTTCAAGTTAATAGCTGCCTTTTTACCTTTAGTTCAGTAGAGATCGGCAGTTCCAGGTTTGAAATCATCCAGATGATTCCAGTGAAAGTGTGTGGAGTTTGAAAACACAGTGTAGCACTTCCTGTATCACCACGTGACATCACGAGGTGGAACAGTTTTCATTTTAAGAGAAGAACTCAGCCTAAATGTGCAGGGTTTGTGTGTTAAACATGTGTGAATGAAACAAAACACAACTCCAGGTCTGTTTGTGATGAGGAAACATTATAACATAGATCAGAAAATTGTATAATATTTGCCGATTATACAAATTCTAGTGTGACAATTGCAGGATATTATCGGCCGATATGAGCAATTGGAGACATATCAGCCTTAAATCTTGCTGATCTGGGTCGATAGTTCACATGGGCAGGTCACAGGCACGGGCGGGTAACGGGTGGAATGTTAACGGGTCCGGGTGGGTGCGGGTTTAACTTTGATATAATCAGAGGTTAATGTTCGGGTGCGGTGCTGTACTGTGCAAGTGCGGGCGGGTGTGGGTCTCCAAAAATGGACCCGTGCAGGACTCTGCCCCAGAGTCACGTCACTCACGTGTACTTGTTTACATTTAGCTGCTGTCAACATGCTGGATTATATTATATTTATGGATGGTTGTTTTGAGTCAGGATTGAAAGGACACTTACTATTGCAGACTTGTGATCTGAGAAGAGCCCGTGTGAGTGTTGCAAATGTGTCAGTTTTGAAGCTACTTTTCATTCTTTCTTATTGTTTAGCTGTAAAACACCACACATAAACTGCTTTTTTCTTTGACACTGGCCTAGTGTAAAGTGACTGTAGTGTCTGTACGTGTTACTAGACCTGCAATGATGTGTAAAAGAGCTGTGAATCGAGGTGTGAATGATCAGCATTTACGCATATCATTAATTAAAGGTTGATATTTGTAGTTTACTTACTTTGTTTACTGGCTAGAATGTCACGCAAAAACGCCATTAGGTCAACCTGCTCTCTTTAAATATGGCGTAAAGAAGCAAAATAAACAATAAATGTCACCCAAACAAACTCAATTAAAAATCCAGTAGAGCCAAACCTAAGTTTTATAATCAATTAAAGATTTACAGTGAATTTTTACATTACTAAATATATCGGCAGCTCCAATTCCCATTTTATCTGTATATCGGTTTTCTCATTATGAATTAAATCTTTGTTTGTGCTTTAATTTTGCTAATTCGGGTTAAGGTTTAAATGTTTGTCTCCCTCTTGTGGCCAATTAACTTCATTACTGTAAAATACTTAAAAAATACTTAATGAAAATCAAATCTAAAACATTTTAAACTGTGGGGTAAGATATTGTACTTATAAGAACAAGACAATGTCTGATGAAGTCGCAGTATTTGTTGCTGCGCTCTGTGTGTGTCAGATGCCCTCCCGGTGCCTCCGCGGGCTGTACTGTCGTCGTATTTTTTGCAGCGTCGTTGTTGTTTTTGCTGACTCATGCTTCTCCTCCCCCTCGCTGCTGCGTCAGACACACTCCAGACTCCAATGAGAAAGTCCCGGTTTGGTCCCAGGTCTAATCCAGGACTAATCCCGTTAACCCAGAGACAGTTTAGGCCACGCCCACTCTTAGCGTCCTACTCACCTCGTCTCCTCGTCTCCTCTTTGTCTTTTCTTTTTGGTGTCGGAGAATTGTCAATGTAAACGCAATACCCACTTACTGACTATGAATTAATTACTAAATATCAATAAAACCCCATAGAAGTGTAATGCCCCTGCTTCAAGTTTAACGTATAAATGTATGTTAACTGGATCACAATACATGCTAAAAACAAGACCTAAATTACACTTAACACTGGGAGCGATTTTAATTGAACAAGTTGAAGAAATTTATTAATTATTGGGTGTAATAGTGGACACTAAATTAACATATGGGCCCGGTCAAGCAGAAGTAAACAACAAGGCCAAAAATTCAAGTTAATGCATCTGATATAAAAATGTATTGAACAGATACATATGTACTCTAGTTTATGAAACTGTTTACCTTTTTTCTGTACCATTTTTGGTTCTAAAGTTCCATATGTTTTAAACAGACCATGTATGAAACATGGAACAAAAATTATTTCCCAAATTTCAAAGACCTGCAAATCATGTGAATAAATGAATGTATTTCATCATTCGATCTTTGAACTGTTGATGAAGGTACATGATTTTTCAAAAAAAAAAAGCATTTAAAATGCTAAAAATTTGCTTGGAAGGACTGACATATTTTATAGAAATAGTTTCCTTTCATTTTGAAGTAATATTAAAGTATGTATGTAAGTATATGTGGATATGTTTTGTAGATATGTGGGTATATATTTTTTTGCAAATGACAGGTAAGCACTCCAAAGGTGACTTAAAAAAAAAAAAAAGAAAAAAAGTGAACCACGTGATTATGTAAAACAACAGGGGTAGGACTCCATAAGTTTTTTAAACTTCATCCTCCTCCTTTTGAGCACCAGGTCCCAAATATGTCATGTATATATCACTATTTTTGTTATTGTTTTTTGAATTTTGTTGTACCTGGCTCAAACAAACAAATAAATAAATGAAATTAAAGTATTCGGAAGAAAAAAGCGACAAATGATGAAAAACGATTTTCCCTCCGTTACTTTTCCCTCCGTTACCATGAACTTTCTTAATAAAAAATCTCATGAGTCAAAAAGTAAGAGGTTTTTCCACCTAATCTTGTACCATATGGTAGAAAACTATATGAAGCAAATATTCAAACCAGTTTGTTAAGGATATGTAAGTGAGAACCAAGAGTTATCACTGTTTGGATTTATTGCCCAAAAAGTGCTGCATATTTCATTCCCTCCGTTACTGACATGAGTTTTTTTATTTTTTTGTCAACAACTTGAAAGAATATCACAGGTTTAACTTGACCCTGTTGGAGTGTAACTCTTTCCTACATTCTGATACTTTACTTATTTCAATAGTCCCTCTAGTTTCTGAATAAGAGACATTTGAATGTCAAAAATCTGCCTGACCGGATCCTTTTCTTTTACATTGAGCTTTCATGTCTTGTTATTTTATGTGTGTGTGTCTCTGTGTGTGAAGTTTTGAGTTATATAACAATTTCTAAGTCATGAATTTGAGGAGACCCCATGAAGAATAACTACTGATGTTTCAGTAGCTAATGGGGATCTTCATAAACTAAGTTAAACTGCCCCCTGCTGGGAGGTTTGTGTCTTTTCTCGCTCTGATGAAATCTCATTCAGCCGGCGAGCGCGTGGAGCTGCAGTCCGGATGTGTGTGGGGTTTTACTGGGGCAGGGGTCATAATGGGCTTTAGAGCTTTTAGACCGAGAGCTTAAGCCTTCAGTGGGTCAGTCGATTAATCGGTCGACCAAAACGTGCATTATTAATCTCGTTATTTACATTATAAAGATTTATATGGGACAGAACGTGAGAGAGTGAAGCTGAAGATTTAGAGTTTTTGGTATTTTCACTGTCGGGCGAGTTACTTCAAAACTGTAATGTGTTTTTTATTTATTTATTTATTTATGATTTGTTTCTGTCATTTCAGAGTCATTTGTTAAATTACAATATTATTGTGTTTAAAATATAAAACATGACACAACTATTACAAAACTTTAACTTTCACCAGAATAACGACTAAACCAGGGCTGAACCAGGACTGAACCAGGACTGAACCAGGACTAAACCAGGACTAAACCAGGGCTGAACCGAGGACTGAACCAGGACTGAACCAGGACTAAACCAGGACTAAACCAGATCACTAAACCAGGACTAAACCAGACTAAACCAGGACTTAAACCAGGACTAAACCAGGACTAAACCAGGGCTGAACCGAGGACTGAACCAGGACTGAAAACCAGGACTAAACCAGGACTCAATCAAGACTAAACCAGGACTAAATCAAGGCTAAACCAGGACTAAACCAGGACTAACCCAGGTCTAAACCAGGACTAAACCAGGACTGAACCGAGGACTGAACCAGGACTCAACCAGAACTCAACCAGGACTCAATCAAGACTAAAGCAGGACTAAATCAAGGCTAAACCAGGACTAAACCAGTACTAAACCAGGACTGAACTAAGACTGAACCAGGACTAAACCAGGACTGAACCAGGACTAACCCAGGTCTAAACCAGGACTGAACCAAGACTGAACCAGGACTGAACCAGGACTAAACCAGGACTGAACCAGGACTAAACCAGGATTGAACCAGGTCTAAACCATGTCTAAACCAGGACTGAACTAGGACCGAACCAGGACTGAACCAGGACTAATCTTGGACTAGGACTTGGACTCTAGTTCCGCCCCTGAGAGAACCCCGAGCTCGTGCAGCAGAGTGTCCATAAAGCTCGAGTGTGGAGTTTTTTGTCGGTCCTTTCGCCGACAGCAAAAAGCAAAGCAAAGTTTATTTCTGTGCAAAAATGATGATTAAACTCAAGATTCATACATTTTAATCTGTGTTTATAAAAAATACTCAGTTTCCTAGTGCTTTTTTTTCTGCATAAATAGTAGTTTTTTGCGTGAGCTCCCCCTGCTGGTGTCGTCTCGTGAGTGCAGTTTGGGTCAGATACACAAGAGAGACTTTTTTAGTCGACTAATCTTGCTATTTTTGCGCTTTCTAATAATATTAATGTCCTGATCTTTAGTCGATGTTTTCTAGTTTTTCCGTTGAGATTTGCTTTATTTCTTGTGTCATTATAATTAATCCACAGATATTTAATTAAAGCATTTCATTTTTTTTTTTTTTTTTAATTCCAGGGTTTCTGTTCATGGTTAACGGCCATCTTCAGAATAAAGTGAGTATCTGCTCCTGTCAGCTCCTCTGTCTGTGCTCCTGTCTCCTCCTGTCCTCACCTGTCTTCACCTGTCCACACCTGTCTGCTCCTGACCTCACCTGCCCTCTTGTGCCCTTACCTGTACTCACCTGTTTGCTCCTGTCCTCACCTACCCTCACCTGTCCTCTCCTGTCCTCACCTGCCTTCACCTGTCCTCCCCCGCCCTCTCCTCACCTGCCCTTACCTGTCCTCACCCGTCCTCACTCACTCTCGCCCGTCCTCACCTGTTCTTACCTGTCTACTCCTGCCATCACCTGTTCTCATCCGCCCCTCACCTGTCCTCACCTGTCCTCTCCTGTCTTCTCCTCCCTTCACCTGTCCTCTGCTGCCTTCACCTGCCTTCACCTGTCCTCAACTGTCCTCACCTGTCTGCTGCTGTCTCCTCCTGCTCTTGTCTGCTCCTGTCCTCACCTGCTGCTTCTGCCCTCACCTGTCCTCACCTGTCCTCCCACCCTCACCTGCCCTCACCTGTCCTCACCCATCCTTATCCATCCTCACCTGTACTCACCTGTCCTCACCTGTCCTCCCCTGTCCTCCCTGCCCTCACCTGCCCTTACCTGCCCTCATCCATCCTCACCTGTCCTCACCTGTCCACACCTGTCCTCACCGCCCTCACCTGCCCTTTCCTCTCCTCACCTGCCCTCACCCATCCTTATCCATCCTCACCTGCCCTTACTCACCCTCACCCATCCTCCCCGCCCTCACCTGCCCTCACCTGCCCTTACCTGCCCTCACCCATCCTCACCCATCCTCACCTGTCCTCACCTGTCCACACCTGTCCTCACCCACCCTCACCTGCCCTCGCCTGTCTCACCTGTCCTCCCCTGCCCTCACCTGCCCTTACCTGCCCTCACCCATCCTCACCTGCCCTCACCTGCCCTTCACCTGTCTCACCTGTCCTCACCTGCCTTCCCCTGTCCTCACCTGCCTCCCCCGCCCTCACCTGTCCTCACCCGTCTCTCTCTTGTTTCCATAGAGACGAGGAGATCCGTGAGAAGTGCGGTGAGGACGCGGTGCACTATCTGTCGTTCCAGAGACACATCATCGGGCTGCTGGTGGTCGTCGGCGTTCTGTCCGTCGGCATCGTCCTCCCGGTGAACTTCTCCGGAGATCTGCTCGGTAAAACTCACCTGCGCCGACTCTCTGTGTTTTTAAAGCTCACAGATGAAAAAAAAAACCCAAAACTATTATTATTATTATTATTATTACAAACTGGTTTTATTTGTAAAATCTGGCAACACAAACTGAGACCAAACGAACAAACTTTTTCTCTTATAATTTGTACGTCTCTGTATTTAAACCAGACCTATTGTGAACAACTCTGAATCATTCTGTTATAATTTGGACGTTTTAAATCACAAAATGCATCTAAAACGACTTAATAAAAGAAACAAATCTGCGTTAGAAAACTGCGGTGTCCGACGGGAGCTGATGCAAACGTCGTCAAAACAAAGCGCAGTGAGGTTGTTGGCACCTCCGATAGATAGATAACTTCAGGTCAGGTTTTTTCATTTGTTTTTTTAATGTTTTTTTTGTTCATGATGCATCTAAAACGACATAATAAAAGACTCAAGTGCGATTACTTTTGAAAAAATTACGTTTTTTAAGGACGTCACAGTCACATTAGACAAGCCACATGCATTTCTTTTAGCACAAGTTTTAGTTTTCAACATCTGTGTGTAGGAAAAATATAAGCTACATGCATAAAAACAGACAAGACACTTTAGTTACAAACAGATAAGAAATATATGGAATTATTACTTATTATTAATTATTCTACAGTGAGAGCATTTTTGGCAGAGAGACTGAAATTAAACAGAAAATGCACACCAAAGTAAAATTTACTGAGGTACAAATGCGAGGAACAGCAATTTAAAAGTTAAAAAACGCCTGGCGCACTCAGATGGCCGATGTCCAAAAGCTTTAAAAAAAAATAAATAAATTAAATATAGTTTCGGCAAAAAACTTTCATCAGATAATTTTTCGTGCTTTGGAACACAGTGTACCACCCTGTCGATTAAAATGCGCTCGCCTTATCATCGGACACGTTTACATGATGTTTTTTAATTCCGAATTTATTGTTCTGAATTAAAATATTCATTGAAATAATCCAGAAGTGAGGTTTACATGGAAATCGTCTTTGTTTAATTCCGTTCAGCGTCTGGGGGTGGAGAAGGTTCTGATTGGACAGAGACACGAACGTATTTATGTCGACCGGAAGAAAACAAACACTTCAGCTGCTACCGGCTTTTCTGCCTTTCTCGGTTTGTCGTTGCTCCACGGACACAAACACGATCCAAACTTTTCCCGCGGTGGTTCCGATGATAATTGCGCAGCAGATGGAGAATTGTCTCATCGCGCTTTAGCTGAGGAGGAGAAGGGAAGAGTGTCGGAGAAGGAGGAAGAAGACAAAGTGAGTGTGAGGCTGATCTACCTCAGCCCACTCCCACATCCCGCTCACAAATCCAAAGAGACGTGGAGGAAAATCTGAAAAAAAGGTCCTGATCGCGTCAGAAGAGCTACACAACGAGCATGCGACGAACGACCTGAATTATTTTTTAACAAGAATAAACAGTTTTTAGCCTGATTCATCATCCCGTTTCACTTCGTACAAACCGTCTGACCTCGCAGCATTAGGATTCGTTCGCTCGACAGTAGGCGGGTACTTTTTTAAATTTAACCAATCGCTGCTATTTGGTCGTGACGTTTGTAATGCTCCAAATCCTGTAGGAAGAAGGACAATAACGTCTTTCCCCTTGATAAAATTCACCAAACATTCTCTTTGTTCCGGCTTTAAATCCTCGATCTCGGGAATCGTTGCCAACACAGAATGTCTGTCTGTTCGCTGATTGGCTGGTGCCCGAACTTGCACTTCCAGAATTTTTGCGAACCTTCTAGTGTATTCCGATTCTTGACGTAGTCGCTGGAGAGAAATGAAATTGAGCGAAGGCACTAGGCGGCACCAGCCTGATTAAACGTTTACATCAGGGTGTCCAAACTTTTTTCATCAAGGGCCACAGATCTAAACACAGACGAAGCAGAGGGACGATCGAGGGTCGTAGACTGATGCTCAATACAGTGAATAATTAAAATATGCGCAGGTTTAACACGTTAGAATGATCCATCAGTCTTTATTCATGCTAAGATCCTTAAAACCAAACACTAAATGTTAAATATTTGCTTTATCAAGGTAAATTTTCAAAAAAACTTGCAGTAAAAAAATATTTTTTTAATTGATGCAAAGTAATTTGGGCCAATTCACCTGGAGGTCTGAGGGCCAAGAAAAATTTGTCTGAGGACCGCATTTGGCCCCCGGGTCACAGTTTGGACCTGCCTGGTTTACATGATCGAAGAATAAATTAATTCGGCTTTAAAATCGGAATAAACCACCCAATTACTTCAGAATTAATTTAACTCCGAATAATAATTTTCATTAGGAATTAAGTGTTTACATTGTCTTTTTAAAGCGGGGTTAAGTTTTTTTTTTCCAGAATTAAAGCTCTCATGTAAACGTGGCAATTGAGATCGACCAAAGTAGACTTATCGGGACCTGACGATCTTTCGATTTTTGGCACAGCCCGAGAAACAATAATACCACGGCTAAAGCTCTGAAAAGTTTGCATAATAGGTCTGCTTTAAAGTAGTTTTTGCTTAAGATCTAAATTTTAAAAACACATCCCTTTTAGTCAGATTATTATTGAATTCTTCTAAAATTCCTACGTAGAGTCCTGTTAGATGTTTATTAGTCTCCAGCAGTAAAAACCCTTCCTCATGTGACTGTGAAACTGAACTGTGTAACCTTAACGTGAACCTGTGGTGTGTTTGGGTTCAGTCCGAATTCTGAGCGCCGAAGCTTTTCTCAACATGGGATCTCCGGGCCCTCCCTCCAAAGAAGGTACCGCCGGGTCAAACCGGGTCGAGCGCAGACGAACCCTAGAGAGTTTTGTGTGTGGAGAGTCGCCCGTAGACACCGTCCCCGGTAGAGAGTCCCCGCTGAGAGTAGCACCGGCTCTGTTTTCCCCCTCGTAGTGTGTGTGGATAGAAGAAGTGTGTAACAAACCGAATGCACCACAGCGGAAAGCAACACAAACGTTTAGAGCTCGCCGCAACCGCATCACGAAGCGTCAGGAGTTTGTGGATCACTTCAGACGATGTTAATTAACGTTTGAGGCCGGGTTTTGCTTAAAGTGCATTTGACAGATTAATACTGTGGTTTGGTTGGAGACTGGGGCAGTATTTGTGGTAAATATGTATTATAATTTTGCTTCAGATGAGTGGCGGCTCGTGAAGAGAAGTCAAAAACAACGAAACTGGAAAAGAAACTGTTGTCAAATTGTCAAACCAAACCACCAAAACTTTTAGGATTATAAATCGCTCTGGAGTGTAAGTCACAGCAGCCAAAAAATGTGTAATGAAGAAGAAAAAAAAACATACATAAGTCGCACTTTTTGATGGAAATGTATTTTATAAAATCAGAGACCAAGAACTATTTCGATGAAATTTCATTAATCGATCGTCGGGAGAATTAACGATCGATTGTCGATTAATCATTAATGTTTTAATATTAAAATTATCATCATTATTATTACTATACTTACTTATTTATCCACTACTAATGTGCATAAATAAATTCGACTTTACGACATATAAACCGTAACCACTCTAGAGCAGGGGTGTCCAAACTTTTTTCATCAAGGGCCACATATGTAAACGCAGACAAAGCAGAGGGACGATCGAGGGCTGTAGACTGATGCTCAGTTCAGTGAATAATTGAAATATGTGCATGTTTAACATGTTAGTATGAGCCATCAGTCTTTATTCATGCTAAAATCCTTAAAACCAAACACTTAAATGAAATATGAGCTTTATCAAGGTGGATTCTCCAAAAACTTGCAGTAAAATATATTTTTTAATTGATGCAAGGTCATTTGGATCAATTCACCTGGAAGCGTGAGGGCCAAGAAAAAATTTGTCTGAGGGTCGCATTTGGCCCCCGGGCCATAGTTTGGACATGCCTGCTCTAGAGCCACATCAGCCCGTTTGACATTATAATGTGTTTAATTCAGATTTGTGCAACTCTCACAGAAATGAAACTTAAAACCTCATGGCTCATTTGCATAAACTAAGACAAGAAAAAACAGCTCTTGTGTCGCTGATGTGGTTCAGCTTCTGTCAGATTAAAAGACATGACTCAGGTGAATACAGGTTAGTGTGACCAGATTTGCGTTTGTCAAAATCAGGACAGCGTACGGGGGGAGGGAGGTGGGGACTCACACTTGTCTCGACCTCATCGTTAAATGTGCATTTGTGCTTCGGTGTGTTGCAGACTGACCGAATGTTTGTGTCTCGCTCCTCCTGAGTTACAGACGCTACGAGAGACGCTCAGTTTAATGTCCCAATGAAAGGAAATGAAAACCCGAACATTTGTATCATTTTATAAAAAAAAAAAAAAAGCCCGGACGACCAGGACAGGACGTGAAAAACGTACTTGTCCGGGGAAAAACGTACGTTTGGTCATGCTACGCTACGCACAGACACCTACATTCAGTCTGTCGATTAAAAATGAACATAATCGATGAAATTCTTAATGATCAATTATTGATTAATCGACTAATCGTGCCCATCCCTACCAGGAACTGACATTTCCTGTTGAAAGTCAAGTTGTAGTAAAAACAATAGAAGAGAGAACAACAGACTGTTAACGTCACATATGAACAGTTCTTCAGATAAACTATAACATAAACAACAGAACAGAACAAGTTTAACAAACTCTCCATCTCACTCCAAATCACTAAATCCATTCAATTCTTCATCCTCGGTGTCACTTCTGAACAACTCCTCGACCTCCGGAGGTAAACAGAGCGACACAAACTCTTCTGTGTCGCTGTCGTCAGACTCAGCATCAGTTCCAGTTAGAATTATTCGGGTCTTTCTTGAATGCGATCCGACTGACAGACAGACAGACAGATGAGTTAGTGACAGTGACAGATACTACTAGACTGTCAATGTGAAAATATATATATATTGCACCATCAGTGTCTGACTTTTTTTAACAGATTACATACACCAAAATGTAGTTTGTAACAGAAAATTACTTGAGTAACGTAATCTGAATACTTTGATATTGTCATGTTTTTAAAACTACATGAATGTATCAACCACATCCTGAAAATACTGGTTTGTTTTCTTCAAATTGTCTGTTGACCCAAATCTCCATGAATAAGAAACTGTTTACTGTAGAGAAACAAAGACCAGGAAATCTGAACATAAGATGTTTTGTTTTATTTTGTTTGCTAAAACAAAATAAAAAAGTCCAGTCTTTACTTAAATATATAAAAAATATTAATGATAGATAAATGATTTTTATATGAGTCACTGCTGCTTTAAATTATGTCCAAACTATTGTTAGTGTCATATTGTTTAGTCCTGGTTTAGTCCTGGTTTAGCCCAAAATGTGAAAACAGGAAAATCCCTCTGTGTAATCCATTTATTTCAACAAAGTAACTGTAATCCAATTACCACTCACTGAAACAGTAACTGTAACTGAATACAGTTACTCATAATTTGTACTCTGATTACATAACTCTGGTAAATGTAATCTGTTACTCCCCGACACTGAGGATAAGTCGCAGGAAACACCCAAACCATGAAAAAAAGTGCCACTTACTGTCCGAAAAATTTTCGAAAAAAAAAAAATCATTATGAACGAAACCAGAAAAGACTTGGTAAAATGTGTAGTAAAATCTTAAATCTAATATTGTTAATTGTATTTTAGCGAAATTAGTATTTTAACCTGTCATGTGCACTTTAACTGTGTAGATATTTTCTGTAAAACTTTCACTTTTAGTTCTGCGTTGGTAGAAGAAAAGTACAGTTTGGACACTGATGAGAAGAGCAGAATTAGAAAATATATTTAGTTACAGAATACTGAATACACGGTCCAGTCAGAGTACTGTATATTCTGAGTACTTGTGTTATTTTAGACAGAGTTGAATTTAAATGACAGAGTAAAGACAAAACATAGGATTAAAAACAACTTTGTGTTTGTTTCAGTTTATTTATCACTGACTGGAGAAAGAAAAACTGGACATGCACTCGCCACAAGAGCAGCGTTTTCTGTTTATCTTCGTTAAAATTGTGCAGTTTTCCTCTGATGTTAGAAAAGTAACTGTATTCTGAGTACCACCAAGTGAAAAAGTAACTGTAGCGGAATGTAGTTACTCAAAATTAAGATTCTGAATTAGGGATGTGACGATATCGAAGTCTCTCGATACTTTCACAATATACATCTCACAGTACTGATACAGAGCAAAGGATCATGGTCTATGTAGTTCTCTCTGTTTTTTTTTTAGTTGTTGCTGAACCATAACAATGAATTTAAGCAAATAAACTTGTGATTTGATATAATGTGATGGTTCACGATACATCCCTATTCTGAATCCATATTCTCTGTACTTGGTGTGTCGTTCGTTTATTCGTTTTTCAAAATAAAACCAAAAATAAAACGGAAAAAAAAAAACAATACTATTTTCTTCATTATTTGTCTCCAAAAACTTTTTTTTTTTTTTCAGTTTTTGATTTTGTGTTTAAATGAATAATGGAAAAAAATGGACTGAGACCAGGACCAGACCAGATCTAGACCAGAAATGAGACCAGGACTGAGAACGATTCAGTCCTGTTTTAGTCCTGTTTTAGTCCTGGTTTAGTCCTGTTTTAATCCTGGTTTAGTCCTGTTTTAGTCCTGGTTTAGTCCTGTTTTAATCCTGGTTTAGTCCTGTTTTAGTCCTGTTTAGTCCTTTTAGTCCTGTTTTAGTCCTGGTTTAGTCCTGTTTTAGTCCTGGTTTAGTCCTGTTTTAGTCCTGGTTTAGTCCTGTTTTAGTCCTGGTTTAGTCCTGTTTTAGTCCTGGTTTAGTCCTGTTTAGTCCTGTTTAGTCTAGTTTTAGTCCTGGTTTAGTCCTGGTTTAGCTCTGTTTACGAATCATTTTCAGTTTTTTCATTTTGGTTTTGGAGACAAAAAATGAAGAAAATAGTTGTTTTTTCGTTTTCTTATTTTTTGTTTTTATTTTGAAAAACGAATGAACGAATGATACGCAGATTGTGTGTTCAGTTACGTGCTCGCTCTGTGTTTTGGCGCAGAGCCGATCACACGCCGAGTAACCACGGTAACGATCATTTCTCTTTCCAGAAAACAACGCCTATAGTTTTGGACGCACCACCATCGCCAACCTCAAATCTGGGTGAGTGAAGAGAAGTGAAGTTACATTTACTTTATTGTCGACTAAAGCTGCACTGTGTCACTTTTCTGCTGGGTCGTCTGCCACCTGCTCGTCTCCATGGAGATGTTACCGCTCTGTCTGGAATGTTCCACAGTACAGCATTAACTTGTTTAAACAGACTTACCTAAACTCACATCAAACTCATAAAATATTAATTCGATGGTTTTAGTTTGAGGTGATGTTGGTGCCACCTGCTCGTCTCCATGGAGACTGCTTGGTCTGGAATGTTCCACAGTACGGCATTAAACTTATTCATCTTCCATTTATTAAGACCCACTTATACTCTTGAGTTTTTAATACAGCGTGAGTTGTGTGGTCCTCCGTGTCTTTATTTTATTTTATTTTATTTTATTTATTTTATTTTATTCACTTATGTTTTATTTTATTCACTTTTATTTTATTTTATTCACTTTTATTTTATTTTATTTACTTTTATTTAGTTTTATTTTATTTTATTTTATGTTTTATTTTATTCACTTTTGTTTTATTTTATTTACTTTTATTTTATGTTAGTTACTTTTGATTAACATTTCATTTTATTTATTCACTTTTATTTTTATTTAATTTATTAACTTTTATTTTAATTTTTTTTTTTCTTTTCTCATTTTTAGATTTATTATGCATTTTAAAACTTTTTATTTATTGTTTTTATTTATGATTTACTCTGGAAACTGTCATGTTTATAAAATATGCTACAGTATATAAATAAGTGGATTGGATTTATTAAATTTTCAATGTTTTGTTGCTAAAAAAAATAAATAAATAAAAATAAAATAAAATTCCGCAGCTTGTCTTCATGGAGATAGTTAAGTTGTTTCAGTAAAGCCGTACTGTGGAATATTCCAAGCAAAGTCAGGCTGCAATAATTACATAAAAAAAAAAAAGAACTATACTTTAATTAATAATCTTTTTCTGGACTATTCTGTATTGTTTCATTTCATTTCAAACTCAATTTTAATTAAAAAAATAAATTAAAAAACAGATTTTGATACTCACATCATAATTTTAAAAGCAAATTTTTAATTCTAAACAATATTTATTTATAATACAAGTCATCTTACACAAGTTCTAATAAAACTCAAGATGTACTGTTTGAAAAATATCCAATATTTATGTGATTTTTATTTTTTTTTAATTTTTTTTAGTACTGATATTTGCTCAAGTGATGTTCGATTCTACTTTTAGTGTTTACTATTTTGACAATCTCACTATAAAGACAGATACAAAAAAAGATCTTTTATAACAAACAAAGTATTGTTACGTGAACAGACGGAACAAAATGTCATTATTAAGTCAAAATGTTAAAAATAATGTAGAGTTTTGTATTATAAAAGGGAAATGTCCACAGTGCGTCTTTATTTGTTTGTTGTTGTGGTTTTGTAGATAAATTTCTAGTGTTTATAATTTTATTTTGGTTTCAGGACGAACCTGCTCTGGCTCCACACGACCTTCGCCTTCATGTACCTGCTCCTCACCGTCTACAGCATGAGACGCCACACGTCCAAGATGCACTACAAGGAGGACGACCTGGTGAGCCAATCACAGCCAAGAAACACTCACAAGCAGCCAATCACAGCAAAGGACACATACAACCAGCCAATCACAGAGAAGAAACTCTCACAACCAGCCAATCACAGAGAAGAAACAAAACAACCAGCCAATCACAGCGAAGATACACTCACAACCAGCCAATCACAGCCAAGAAACACTCACAACCAGCCAATCACAGAGAAGAAACACTCACAACCAGCCAATCACAGAGAAGATACACTCACAACCAGCCAATCACAGCGAAGAAACACTCACAACCAGCCAATCACAGAGAAGAAACACTCACAACCAGCCAATCACAGAGAAGAAACAAAAACAACCAGCCAATCACAGAGAAGAAACAAAACAACCAGCCAATCACAGTGAAGAAACACTCACAACCAGCCAGTCACAGAGAAGAAACATTCACAACCAGCCAATCACAATGAAGAAACACTCACAACCAGCCAATCACAGAGAAGAAACACTCACAACCAATACCATGATGTCAGACAAAGCAATAACATTTATAAAAGCATTATATAAACCACGCACCAGTAAAGTTACACAATGCAGCTTTAACTCGGTTCACTCACTTGTGTTTTTCTCTTTCAGGTGAAACGCACTTTGTTCATTAACGGCATTTCCAAATACGCCGAGGAGTCCCAGATCAAGCAGCACTTCGAGTAAGACTCTTTTATCACTCCAGTATAGCTTTTTTAAATGTTTAGTTCTTATTTATTTAGTTTTTATTGACAAATCCAAGGAGGTCGGGCTTCAGCTCAACAAACACCACCCACGATAACTCAATCTTAATATAGAACATGACAAAAAAACACAACAAAATGTAAACGAAAGAGCACAAACAGCTCAACAAAGGACTCAAAATGTATTAAAATGAGAAAAGAAAGAAAGAAAAATAAATAATTAACAATAATAATAGTGATGATTGTTATTATATCCTTAATACCAGTGAGCTGGGTTAGACCTGGTTTAGACTTGGGCCAGTTCTAGGTTAGGCCTGTTTTAGACCTGGTTTAGACCTTGTTTAAACCTGGGTTAGAACTGGTTTGGACCTGGGTTAGACTTGGGTTAGACCTGGTTTAGACCTGGGTCAGTTCTAGGTTAGGCCTGTTTTAGATCTGGTTTAGAACTGTGTTAGACCTGGTTTAGACCTTGTTTAGACCTTGGTTAGACCTGGATTAGACCTGGTTTAGAAATGGTTTAGACTTGGGTTAGACCTGGGTTAGACCTGGGTTAGACCTGGGTTAGACCTGGAACTGGTTTAGAACTGGTTTATACTTGGTTTAATCCTATCCAACCCTGGTTTAGGTTTGGTTTTAGACTTGTCTTAGTCCTGGGTCAGTCCTGGGTTAGACCTGGGTTAGAACTGGTTTAGACTTGCTTTAGTCTTGGTTTAATGTTTAATCCTGATCCAATCCTGGTTTAGATCTGGTTTTAGACCAGGGTTAGTCCTGGTTTAGATCTGGTTTAGTCTTGGGTTAGACCTTGTGTAGACCTGGTCTAGTCCTTGTTTAGACCTGGTTTAATCCTAGTTTAGCCTTTGTTTAGATCCAGTTTAGACCTGATGTAGTCCTGTGTTTAGGTCTGGTTTTATCTAGGTTTAGACCTGGTTTAGTCCTGGTTTAGTCCTGGGTTAAAAATAAAATTCTTTCCTAACAATATAAAACACTAGACTATCTTCCTCGTCTCCTTTCCTAACCCTGACCGTGGTAAAACCTTGAGCGTGTGTGTGACTGTGCTCTGTGGCGCCCCCTGCAGGCAGGCCTATGAGAACTGCATCGTGCTGGAGGCTCGGATCTGTTATAACGTGGCCAAACTCATGTCTCTGAACGCCGAGAGGAAGAAAACCGAACGCAGCAAGAAGTTCTTCACCGACCTGATGTCCAAAGAGCACGTGCCCACCATGATCAACCCCAAACCCTGCGGACACCTCTGCTGCTGCGCCATCGCCGGCTGTGAGGAGGTCAGACCGGGGTCGGACCGGGGTCCGGGCCGGGGTCAGACCGGGCCTCGATTTGGTTTAGTCTTGGATTAGACTTTGTTTAGACTTGGTTTGGTCTTTGTTTAGGTCTGGTTTAGAACTGGTTTACACTTGGTTTAATCTTGATCCAACACTGGTTTAGATCTGGTTTTAGACCTCGCTTAGTCCAGGTTTAGACCTGGGTCAGTCCTGGGTTAGACCTGAGTTAGACCCGGTTTAGATCTGAGTTAGAACTGGGTTAGACTTGGTTTAGTCCTTGTTTAGACCTGTCTTAGACCTGGTTTAGACCTTGTTTAGACATGGTTTAGACCTGGTTTAGGCCTGGTTTAGACCTGGTTTAGACCTGA